TAAAACATTCACTCCTACATGTTCGGAGCGTACATTAGTAAAATACTGTTAGGAAGAAGATTTAAATGGAAATACTATGTGTAGTCTTAGGAGGGAAAACAACTCACATTTTAATTCTAAAACGTGAAGTTCAGATTTTTCTTAGATATTTAAGAATTGAGTGAAGAAGCTGTGAATACTTAGATTATAGAGATTTAATCTGCCAGTTACCATTTGAAATTTTGACTCATTGAAAATAACTGGACATTCCACTAACTCATGAATGTATAGAGGAACTGTAGTGATTGGTTTTAAGGTAGCAGTTACCTGTTTTGATAAGCAGTGATCCGTGGGGATCAAAGGAAGCTCTCCATACAGATCTTTTCCACTGTTTCATTGTCTTACTGCAGTCTTCCCCCACTCAGCCTTCTCATTGCAGCTGTGGGATGGTTATGCGCTTGCTTTTGTTTCTTCCTTATCCCTCCGACTCCCAAGGATTGAACCCAGGGCCTTTACAGCGAGTTACAACTCCCAGCTTTTATTTATTTATTTAAGATAAGATATTGCTTCTGTAAGTTATCCAGCCTGAACTGAAATTTTCAATCCTTTAGCCTTCTGAATCAGGCTTCTCGAATAGTGGAATTACAGTCATGTGCCTTTTATTTTTTAGGTTTTTCTCTTTAAGTAATAGGAAAGTCAGTCTTTTCCCCCAGTCCCTTCATTCTTTGTTTCTTTCTATCTTTTTTTTTTTTTTTAAATTCATTGTTAGGAATTATTCTCTGTTTCAATTCAGTATTGAAACCTGTGTTTAGGTCTGAGGGTGTGACTGAGAGGCAAAAAGCTGAAGTCAAGGCTCCCTGGTTTCATCAGTGCCACAAAAACAACAAACCAGCCAACCCTAGCTTCATTGAAGAACTTATCCATTTAATTCATTCAGTGGCTGCTGTCTGCTGTAATTAATTGGTATGGTTAAGGATGTAGTGTTCATTTTGGATCCCAGTGAATTTAGAGTTAGTGTAGTTGTGGGATTTACTTTAAAAAGGCTAATATAACGGAAGCTAAACACTTATTTCAGATGTTTGTAACTACTGTTTCTGGAGTTCTTTGTTGTATGCCAGATCTTATGCTGGCAGTTTAATGCTTACTACAATACTTTTGTAAGGTATGATTGTTTCTAGTTCATAGGTGAGGAAATTAAGAATAAGAAAAGGTAAGGAACATGTCCTTGATCTCAGAATTGGGTTTCAAACTCATTTCTTATATTGGGTTATGGATGATCATAAAGAGCTCTGATTATTTTTTTTATTTCAGTCATTATGTGTATAAATTTTTTCTCAATTTTTAAAGTACCTTCTCGACATGAACTTATTTTTATTTATTGGATGAAGCTAGTGGAAAAGTAATGGATTTGTTTGTTTGTTTATTTGAGACAAAGTCTGGGCTGGCCGGATAGTTCGGGATACTAAAGTGCCTGCTTAGGTAGAGCACAGAGGC